AGCTACGCCGGGTGCTCCTGCGGAACCAACCTCTCTCGGAGTGCTTAACCCAGGCCCGGACGGACCCATACCACCGGTCTAACAACGACAATCCTAATACAAAAATTTGTCCTGGGTCCGCGTCCGTTACTGACTTCTACAAAATTTACCAAAACAAAGCCTCTGAGTCCCTCCAAACCACCTAATACCTCCAGGCCTCACCTCCATCCGTCAGACTCATCCGACCTGCTAATGTTCCGTTCCGTCCATCCTACGTCCTTTCTTCGTCCGTCCAACCGACCTTCGAGAGACATGCGAGGTTATGGATAACCTCGCATCACTAGCCGCCAATGTAGCACAGATGGGACATCACCTCAACCTGGTTTCAACTCATCTTGCTCCGCCTGCTCCTGAGGATCCAGCTCCCCCACAAGAGTTAGCACAGGTTCCAGCCCAGCCCGCTTTCCCTTCACGTGAGCCAAACATTCCCACTCCAGAGCGGTACGCAGGTGCCTTAGGGACATGTAAATCTTTCTTAATGCAGTGTTCTCTTGTGTTTGAGCAGCAGCTGTCTACTTATGCTAATGACAGAGCTAAGATTTGTTATATGATAGGCTTACTTACAGGTAGCGCCCTAGCCTGGGCATCAGCCGTATGGGAGAGTCAGTCCAACCTTTGTTATTCTTATCCAGAGTTTACAGAAGAAATGAAGAAAGTTTTCCACCACCCCGTCAGCGGTAGGGATGCTACTAAACGCCTCCTCTCACTGCGACAGGGCTCCCGTAGTGTAGCCGAATACTCAGTGGAATTTAGGACCTTAGCTGCAGAGGCGGGGTGGAATGACACAGCGCTTCAAGGTTTTTTTCAAACAGGGCTAACTGATTCTGTCAAGGATGAGTTAGCAGTGAGGGACGAATCAGCTAACTTGGATGAGTTGGTCTCCCTAGCCATAAGACTGGATAACCGCCTTAGGGAGCGCCGTAGGGAAAGAGCCAGTCGATCTCCTGGGTCACTCCCCTCTCACCCTGTCTCGTCTCCTCTCGCAAGATTCAGGTCGGAGACTTTCCCAAGTCCCAGTGCCCCATCTGAAGTCTTTTCTCCTCTCCTGTCTTCAGAGGAACCGATGCAGCTAGGCAGAGCCCGACTCACTCCCCAAGAACGTCTCTGGAGAATAAGAGAAGGACTTTGTGTCTACTGTGCTCACTACGGTCATTTCGTGGACACATGCCCCCAGCGCCCAAAAGAGGGTGCTCGCCAGTAAAGTTTGGGATACTGGTGAGCAAGGCTGTTTCTTCCTCAACCCCCCAGACCCGCAAGCCACTTGAAGCCACACTGTTGTTAAACCAACAGTCTCTCTCTCTGCATGCCCTAGTGGACCCTGGGGCTGATGAGAGCTTTTTGGATGCCCGGCATCTCAACTCAACCTCTGACAGCTCCTCTCAATGCTCGAGGTCTGAATGGGAAGCTCCTGGCACACGTTACTCATGTCACCGAACCCCTACATCTCGTCCTGTCCGGTAATCACCATGAAATGATTCAGTGCCACGTCATGTCCTCCCCTCACACACACCTAGTTCTGGGCCAGCCATGGTTAAGGCTACACAACCTCCACATAGACTGGTCGGAGAATCAAGTAAGGAGTTGGGGTTCCTTTTGTCACTCTTCATGCCTGCGGTCTGCAATTCCCCCAGCAGAGGTCGGTATTCCCCCAGTTCAGCAGGAGCCACTCAACTTGTCCGCTGTCCCTCCGGTTTATCATAGCCTGGGAGAGGTTTTCAGCAAGCAGCGAGCCCTTTTTCTGCCCCCTCATCGCCCTTACGACTGCACAATAGATCTTCTTCCTGGGGCATCTCTCCCATCCAGTCGCCTGTTTAACTTGTCCCGAACTGAGCGTGAGGCCATGGAGACATACATTAAAGACTCACTGGCTGCTGGCATCATAAGACCCTCTTCTTCCCCCGTCGGAGCAGGCTTCTTCTTTGTATCCAAGAAAGACCGCTCCCTACGCCCCTGCATTGACTACCGGGGCCTTAACAACATCACCAACACAAGTATCCTTTCTTCTAAAAATATTTCTTTACAAGCTGAGTCTAAGAAGTTGAAACCACGCTTCATTGGTCCCTATGTGATCGAGCGCATAATCAATCCATCTGCTGTTAGACTCAATCTGCTGCCTCCCTCCATGCTTCTCCAATGCTTCTATATATATATACATACACACAATGCAATAAGCTTCTTAGTGCAATAAGAAGCTACAGGGACGTTCTACGTTGGTAATATTAACTTTATTTAATACAACATTTACGGTACAAGATGTAATCATACAGCCCATGTAGTATAATATTTTACAAATGATGATTACAGCAATATGTGACAAATATCCATCATTAACAGCTACGTCGGCTGAGCAGCAACGCACACCCTCACTATAAGATAATAGTGAAAATACAATATAGAGGATAAAAAAGAGATAAACAGACACATTAAAGTATAAAAAGAAAATATTAACATAAAAAGAAACACACAGAGACAGGCGACGAGTCAAACAGATGAGATAATAGATGCCGATATCATAATGCAGAGAATATTATAGATATTAGATATTATACAACACATAAGAGATAGATATAATATATATATATATAGACATATACAATGATATTATCAATTTAGGAGAAGATATTATATATTAAGATATATATAATATACAAATATACATAAAGTCAATGGGAAAAGTGTTTCTGGGCAAGCACCTAACGGAGTGGCCACTACGAATAATCTTATCGAAGTCCGCACTTCCTGGGGGCTTGGTTCCAGTGTGGCAGCTTTTTAATCACTGCTCCCCTGGTGGATCCATGGAATATCACTTCAGCTGGTTTAATTATAATTTAAGAAGGGGGGATATCAAGTCTCTTCGCCGCGCGCGCGCTCGCAGATTTTTCTTTCAGCGAGGGCAGACACGTGTCACTGCACCACTGCGGTACGGACGTTCGAAATTGTAGGTCTCAGATATATAAAAAATTATAAAACATGTCTATGAGTGTTTTGGTAAAAGAAGATCACCATTTGAGCCATGCTTCATATCCCTCTATTCTCTCCCTGTTACCAAAGTGCTGATTCGGGGTATAAAGCTTCTTTTTTTTTTTTACTGAAAACAAATTAAATAAGAGGGGGTGGAGAGCTTATGCCGGCTCCATGAGGGACCTGGAGATACTGTCTAAAATGCTCGGTGATGAAAACGCAAGGATTATTAGAATCAGGATTATTTCTGAAACAGTATGGA